GAGAAGAGGACAAGAAACGAGGGGCTGTGACAAACTGTTTCGTCGGAGTTTCACCGACTCATCAGGAGATGAGATTTGATTTGCAGTAGATGGGAAAAAAAACGGCCCGGATCTTATCTTCACTGGCCATGTGTTTGATGGAGTGGAAAGAAAGGTACAAGGGGCGACTTCAGCGCATCATTCTCGCGAGGGCGTCGTAGAGTATTAAAGTCTTTTTGCGGAGACACATTTTCATTAGCCCTTGTAGAGAGTTGAGCGGGGATGTGGCGGCGTGTGGCACAGCGTACAGGCTACCATGGTCGTGGAAGAGCATTGGGTTACCCCCAGGTGCCTACTGCCATCGGTGCGACCGTGTCTCTTATTTTTGGGCGTGTCTGGCCGTAGATGAGTTAACAACTTAACACGCATAATTGGTCGGCCTCCCGATGAGTAGGTGAAACTCCGCCAAAACAGTTTGTCACAGCCCCTCGTTTGTTGTCCTCTCCTCCCTCTCTGCCTACGGTTTACCGGGCAGCTCTGTTTGGCTATAGATATATACGCACACACACACACACACACACACACACACACACACAGAGAGAGGGAGAGAGAGAGAGAGAGAGAGAGAGAGAGAGAGAGAGAGAGAAGGGTACGTGGTGATGATTCAGAGGGTGCTTTTTGTATCGCTTCATTTTTGCATTCTTCGCGTTCTTGTTCTTCTTATCTTACTCTCTTCTATTATTATCTCTTCTATCTATATGAAGTTAATCAGTCGCGGGCTCTGACACTGCCCGTCGTGGCCATTTTTTTTGTTGTCCGATCGTCAAACCGGCGGCTTAGATTTGCCCTGAAACGGTATGTTTTTTCCACTGGTGCTGCAATTGTTGGACTCGTGGATAGTCTCGTAGAGAGCTTCAGAGAATGTCAGAGATGTCAAAGACCGTCAGAGAGTGCCGGGATTGTCAGGAGCTTGCCAGGGATTGTCTGCGATCGTCAGGATTGGGGAGGGTTTCACATGACGGAAGGTGTCCGTAAATGAACGTGGTTGCGTGTTCGGTTTGGTGGAGTGAAAAAGAGAAAGTGTATAAATGGGCAGAGTTGAAAATTAAAACGTGTCCTTTGGAACCAAGTCCTTCCTGGTCCAGCTGAGCAACGGCCTTTACTCCTCCTCCAGTCGGCCTGGATAGATCTTCTCAGGTTGGTCCTGGATCGGTACCGGAGCTCCTTGTTGGAGAGTTCTTTCCCGTTGAAGACTCTCTTGTTCCTTTTGTACCAAATCACTTTCACTCCTGCAGCTCTGGCAGCTTGTGCCATGTAACCGCAGCTGGATGTGGCCTGTAGACTGAGTGGGATGCCTCTAGCAGGACCCATTCCCTGGACCGAGGTAGGGTCTGGCCTGCTAGCGTTTGCCTGAAGCGGATCCACCATGTCCAAATTTGGTTGGAAGCGGGATAATCCCACCACAGGTGGGGAGTTGATTCGAATGCCATTGGCAGCGACTGCAGGTGAGGTCTACTGCAACTCCTCGTTGAGTGAGCCAGACAGCTGACGGAGTTGCCCGGAAGGAAAACAGAAGGGCTGCGTGTCGTTGGTTGGGGACCATTTCGAGAGAGCTGACCTGATGGCTTCTGGTGGAAGCTGGAGTACCTGCGTCCATCTGCTGTTTGCCACTGCCAGCGGTTGTCGTGGTGCGCAGAGGATCTTGTAACTCTGCTGCACAGCGTAACTGATGATTGGGAGGTTTTCGCCTTTCTCTCCTCCTTCCCTCCAAGTCCGTAGTGCTGGGTCCAGCCTAAGTGTCTACGCTGGTTGACCGTCGGCAAATAGTGAGCATGTGAGGGTTCCTGGGGACGGGAATAGCTAGGATCAGAAAAGAGGGCAAGCTACACGTTGATCAGTGGTTCTTTGACAAATAGGTTTAGGAAGGCAGTCCTGACTCCTTAGGTACATACCAGGACACTCGGTTGTACAGCCGTGGTGGGCAGGCAGGTGTGCAAACACAGGGTGGGATCTAAGGTGGGAGGAGTGTCATTAACAGCAACTGCGAGTCCAACACGACTCTACCCGCCGAGCTTAGGTGGTCTATTCGTCAGATAGGACTATAGATAGGCCAACAAGTAGTGATCAAGTTAGACCCCAGGAATAGATTGCAAGGCTCAAGAATTAGTGGATAGATGCCCTATGGTTTCCTTTTTGGTTTGTTAGGCTTGTGGGCCTTGAGGAAGGCCCTCCTGTTGAGGTAAGGAGGTATTATTTTTTTGTTTTGTACTTTTTTTGGTTTGTTCGGTTTTGTTGTCCTTGTGGCTGTGTTCTTTTCTTACCAGGGTTGCAGATTGGTCAGAGCGGTGGTCTCTTA